GAGGTTCCAGTAGTTACATACGTGTGAAGGGCAGAGGTGCACAGTCCAACCTTGCTGCTGCCAGCCTGTCAATCTATGAGAGGCTAAAAGCTGCTGCGGCTGGACAGTGCACTGAATATTTAGAATGTTTAGTATGTGTTTCAGGAATTCATCCCTGGACACATACTGCCCTAAACGTTAGAACCTCTGTGCACATCCAGCCTCATCCAGCAGTAGTAGCTGTCAGTCTCTCATAGAGTTTAACAGGCTGCAGGCAATAGGGCTGGATGGTGCACCTGGGCCTTCTGCCCACACCTAAATGCCAGAGCCTCCTGCACCAGGGCTAAATGTCCACTGTGTATGAGGCCTAATACAAATGGAGAAATGTTTCATTATGTTCAGGTACTGCTGACTATCTAAAGTTACAAGAGCACAATGACTGAGTTACCATTAAACATCAAGTCAATCCAAACACTTTTTGGATAGAGGAGGTATGGTTTAGAAGCTCGAGCAGGTTCCTATTGCTGGTGGTTGGAGAGGGATAGAGCACCTCAGTAATCATAGAGAGTCCAAAATTATTTATTGCCTTTTTGACTGTACTCAACACAAATAAAACTTAACATGTTTCAGGGGCTTCAGTCCCTTCATCAGGGCTCTGTACAATGAAAGGAGTTGGTAAGATCGCATAAGATGCAACAGATCATGGGTATCATGCAGGACTCCTGCAGACCTGTCTGTATATCTGTGTGCTTGTACCTCATACGAGCAGACAGGGAGAAAGAATAAACTACCACAGTGCTCAACAACGCAGTGGAAGTCCATTGAGAAGTACTGTATAATAATATTAATAATAATAATTGAGAACTACAAGCAGATAGCTGCAAAGGCTGTTGGGACTTGTAGTTTTTCATTCACAGAATTCTGTGAATGAATGATGCGGCCAGGTGGGCGAAGCCCTGTGCAAACACTTTTTTTTTCTTTTTCTTTTTTAATTGTGACAGGAGACATGGGGAGAAGATCCCCGGTCTGCTGTCACAGCGGGGACTTGGGGGGGGGGGGGCCTGAACATGTTATATCCTGAATGTAACATGTAACATATTAGAAATGGTAAACTCATCTTTTAAGTTCACAAAAAAATTGTTCTGATTCCTTTGAAAAAAAGTACAATTGGGTATATTGATCAACATGCTTTAGCAATACCATCTGTATTACAAAGAATTAAATTCACATTTCCATCCTCATATACATCTCCTAGATTGTAAGCTCTAACGAGCAGGGCCCTCTGTTTCCTGTTGTACCAAATTGTATTGTAACTGTAATGTCTACCTTCATTTTGTAAAGCGCTGTGCAAACTGTTGGCGCTATATAAATCCTGTATAATAATAATAATATTCCAATACCGGTTTCAATCATTCCTCAATAATGTCTGATAATTCTGAGAGTTCTCATTTAAGATCTGAGAAGCCTGGCATGCAATAAAAAACTGCCAGTCACAAGAAACAATACTCTCCCTTTCATACGCCCGTTTCAGCATGCAGCATTAAAAGGATAAATTCTGGTTGCTGTAGACAACATACATTGACCATGACGGTCAGCCCCGCTGTCCAGGTTGTGGCTACAGACAGTGTGCCTTATGCTTCTGGGTGACAACACAGCCCATTAGCCAGGAAGACATGACCGGCCTGTCGGGCCATGTAGGTTTCCTGCATTTGCTCTTTCTCTCTCACGACATGTGTGCAGTAAATATGCTGGCAATTTCCTTTCAGCATCCTTCCCTTGTCCCTCTCTTACCTCAAACACCCACCCTGCTCTTTTACCAAATCAATCAAACTGAGTTAAAGGGGAATTTGAAGTAAACAATCTCCCTCCCCCCCCTCAGCTACTCTCCCAGAGGAATGCAGGAAGCAACAAAGAGGGTCTTTGTGGGACCTAACTCACTGAACCGATGTCCCCCCATTCTGCCTCCTGCCTGGGTCTTCCTTTTCTTCCCTGCCAACTTTACCGGGAAGGATACACAGGGCAGGAATGTGCACAGTCAGCACAAGCTCCAGAGAACAAACTCTTATCAGCTGTTCATGGGGATGAAAGCTCGCCTCTTTCTTCATGTTTTCTACTAGAGACAGCTGTCACACCTACAGGATTAAATACGCCACACTTTAAATGATGATGTCAAAAATGAAAGCTTAAAGCAGAGCTAAACCCATCGATTTAGCGCTTTCCCAAAAAAAAAAAGCTGCATTTAGGGCATGCCGTAAATCATAACTGTCTTAGTTGCTCGCATCCTCAACTGACCTGTCAAGCCATCAAATGGCTGGTGTCATAACTAATCACATATGTAGCACCATGGTAACTGCATATCAGAGGCTAAGATGGCATCTTCCTTGGCTGTAACAGATAGGAAGGTTTAGTCCACTTTAAGTTACCACTGTACCCACATCTACAGACTACGGCAGTACCCTTCCACACTATATATTTTAAGGTAGTGGCTTGGGGCATCACTCGTGTTCACATCCCCCACACCAAATGTGTACATGATCTCCCCTCTCCTCTATAGTTAGTGTTTAGGACCTGTGTCGACAGGCTTTTATCCACTTAAAGCAGGTTTTGCTTTCCCATACATGTCTAAAGGAATGCAGAACCCGCTTTAAGCAGGTCAAATACCTGTCAGGAGGATGTCAACTGCAAGTCAAATGCACCTGTCAATGGATTCTGAATGATCTCAGAAGCATCTCAAACTGATGCCATCGATAGAAGTCCAAAGCCTGTTGATACAGGTCCTAAATCCTCCTGTACACCAGTGTCTCTAGAAAAGAATTGGTTGTAATATATTGATTATGTGCCACTACCATGCAGCAGAGATGCAAGTAATCCTATTTTACAATAAGGGACAAAGTTAGGTGACAGGAGGCCATCAGCTGGCAATATTCTAGTGGATTAAATTACAAAACATGTAATTACATTTTAAATATACAAATCTATCTTTATACTCCTCACCTCACCCCTTCAGTCTCCTCTCGCAGCACTAACCTACTAAGTGACATATCAACATGGATGTCATTCCACTTCCTCAAACTCAATCTTTTCAAACCTGAGCTCTTAGTATTCCCCCCAGCCCGTGCCCCCTCCCTTGACTTCTCCATCAAGATCAATAACACAACAATCATCAGTCCCTCCCCTCATGCTAGGGTACTAGGTGTAATCCTGGACTCCCATCTGTCCTTTCAGCCCAAAATCCAATCGCTGTCCAAATCTTGTAGACTTCACCTCCGCAACATCTCCAAGATACGCCAATTCCTAACCTCGGAAACCACTAAGCAACTTATTCGCTCCCTGGTTATCTCTCGACTATTGTAACTACCTCATTGCAGGCTATCCCCTCTTCAGTCTATTTTGAATGCTGCTGCCAGACTAATCCACCTTACTAATCATTCCATATCTGCCACCCCTCTCTGCCAGTCCCTCCAATGGCTTCCCATTGCTCAACGAATAATGTTCAAAACATTAACAATAACATATAAAGCCATTTATAACTCTGCCCCAAATTACATCACCAATCTTGTCTCCAGATATCACCCAAACCGTAATCTCTGCTTCTCGCACAACCTCCTACTCTCTAGCTCCCTTGTCCCCTCCTCTCATGGTTGTCTCCAGGATTTCTCCAGAGCCTCCCCCATCCACTGGAACTCTCTACCCCAATTTATCAGACTATCGCCGACTCTACTCACTTTTAGGCAATCTCTGAAAATCTCTCTTCAGGGAACCTATCCTGCCTTCAGCTAATAATGGAATCTTCTATTCCTCCTAACAGTCCATCCCCGACAGTTACTACCTTTTGTACCACCAGCCCCTCCCTCTTAGATTGTAAGCTCCAAGGAGCAGAGCAGGGCTTTCCTAACCCTCTTGCATTGAACTGTATTGTTGCTATATTGTCTCCCGTTATATTGTAAAGTGCTGAGTAAACTGTTGGTGTTATATAAATCCTGTATAATAATAATAATAGTAATAATAAAAAAAATACTACATCTGATTACAATAGATATAAACCCAATCATTAAAATCTCATAGAAGATTTAATATGTTAACCCCTTCCTGCCCAGCCCCATTGTCCCTTTATTGGGTCCATACTCCCGGAGGACAGGAAGAGTCAGTCAATCTTGTAGTCACTGTGATTGACTGTCATAATGGTCAAATGATCAGGAGCCAGTCCCACCGACTCCTGGTCATTAGTACAGACCAAGAGCTGCCTTTGATAGCTCGGTCATTGTGCTGGGAATGTGCAGTGAGCATGCTCTCAGCACAGAAAGATCGGCCACCCATGGATGCATATGTGCGATGTGTGAGCTTTAAAGACACCTTCTTTGCTGCAGCACATATGTGTTACATGAGCAGCAAGAGGTTAATGTAATTTCAGAAGTCATGCATTTGCAGTATGTTTGTGATATGTTTTTCAGGCATTATTTATGATTTTTGTTGCATTTACAGTTGCATGTACATGTGTTTGCAGTGCGTTCTATGTTTACGTGCAAACAAATGCACATGAAATCACTACAATAGTGTAAACCAGGATATTTGAAATACATATGTGTTCATACTGAGTTTAAATATTCATTTGACTGCATCTAGTGCAAACAAGCCCTAAATATGTAACTTTCATTTAAATAATCCTTGGAGATCCTGCCATGAAGTACCTTGCTCAGGAACTGTTACAGGGTGACAAAACTGTCCATGTCTCTCATTATTTTACTGTGTTGTCACCCAATAACATGGAGTCTACAAGGGGCCCAGCCATGGTCACCATCAGGAAACCAACACTAAAAAATGGCAGGCAGTCATAATCGTTAGAGTGCATGCATGTAGACAGAAAGGGGGGATTTACTAAAACTGGAGAGTGCAAAATCTGGTGCAGCTGGGCACAGAAGCCAATCAGCTTCCAGGTAATTTTTTTGTGAAAACATAAAATGTTACTAAACCCAAGACCACTATACCTGGTCTCCCACAGTACACAGAACATGGAAGTGCAATTATTTTAGTAAATATAAACTTCTAAACACCTTTTCTCATCAGCAGTTAGAGCAGGCTTATGACTTCTATCAGTGTCCAGCAAAGCACATGTTTAAGCTTATAGGAGGAGTTTTCATTCTGCTCTAGGAGGATGCAGAACCCCTGACCTCTGTCTGAACAGTGCTGATTGGACTTGTGCTGATCACATGCACTCTCCCAAGAAACAAAAAAAACCTCTCTCTAGCAATACACACCAAACTGAGCATATGTAGAGTGACTCCACACAATATGTCTTATCAGGAGATAAGAGGCAGACACTGGAAGAAGGGAAGGTTCGGAGAAGTCATGATCAAACCACCTTTTTAAACAATGCAAAGGATTAACCCCTTAGATTTCATAGTGAGTATAACAAGTATTCTTTACTGCAAATACAGACTGATTTTACTGTTGTGGGTTTAGTAACACTTTAATTGAATAACCTGAAGTTAGAAGCTGATTGGCTGCTAAGCACAGCTGTATCAGATTTTGCACTCTCCAGTTTTAGTAAATCTACCCCAAAGTAGGATGAAAAAAAAAGTTTAAAGTATTTTTTTTTTTTTTTAAATTGCAGTTGTATAATAACACACAACACTCAGGCTTTACATTTACTTTAAGTTGCAGTACCCATGCTCCCATCTGACATCAGTCTTAAAGATAAAAGAAAGAAATAACAGGATTCCACCATGACTGATGTTTTTTATTAGCTGAGGATTGCAGGTTAGGGACATTGGGGGAACAGAACAATATTATCTCCTGGAAACAAAGGGTGTCTCTGCTAATAGTGTACAGCTGGCAATCCTACTGTGCAAACAAGAACTGCTTCTACTCCCACCACTGATGGCTGGCTTTGCAACGTGTACAAGTAGAATGCCAGACAGATATGGCTTGTTCTTACCAGCCCACGTGTTAAACGCTTGCGCACTGATGTGCACTGCGTAGGGCTGTGGGAGGGAGGGGTGCAATGCATTAATACAGAATATCACACTATTTACTTTTTTATTTTGTTTTTAACTTTATTGAAGTTCATTCCAGTCTATGCGACGCAGCGTACTATGACATACTACAGTGTAGTGACATGTGATGCCATGCTTTTCACTGCGTAAATCTGCGCACATGCTGCTTTTTTTGTGCACACCGCACTGCACCTCAATGTTGCATTATGGGTGTACATGACATAGTGAACAGCTGCTGTCTATGTGCCCTTGCCCTGAGCCTGCGTTGGTCTATGCAGACCAAAGTAGCTCAACAAATACAGTGGTACAGTGTGAACAAGCCCTTACAAGTTCCTGGAGGAGATTTGCTAAAACTGGAGCACTAAGAATCTGGTGCAGTTTTGCATGGTAGCCAATCCGCTTCTAACCTCAGCTTGTTCAATTAAGCTCTGGCAATAAAACCTGGAATTTGAGTGGTTTCTATGCAGAACTGCACCAGATTTTGCATGCTCCAGTAGCCAGCCCTAATAACTTGGTGGCCCTTTAATTGGCAGTAAAAAACATTTTCCTTTTATTGTTTTAATTTGCTAAGCAAATCATTTGTGAACTAATCAAAGAACACAATACACAGTTTTTGACCATCTATAATGCTCATAGGCAGGGGCGGACTGACAATTCATGGGGCCCCTGGGCAATAGGAGATCATGGGGCCCCTGTGTCTTTGCCCACACTAAAAGCACACCCAAAAAAGCCTATAAAAGGTACCAGGGGCATCTCATGGGGCCCCATACTGACCCCGGGCCCTCGGGCAGTGTCCGAGTGCCCAAATGGTCAGTCCGCCCCTGCTCATAGGACTATAAGGGTAAATTGGAAATTCATATCTGTTGATGGCCCCTTAACATTCCATATCTGTTGGTGGTCCTTCGACATTAAGGGTTGGTTGTCTCCAGCAGCCACAGTATACTGATGTGCTGTAAATGATGCATCGCATTATTTACTATTTTTTTTTTTTTTTTTTATGAAATGTCACAAAATGACATTTCATTTGGGCAGCACAGTGGCTCAATGGTTAGCACTTCCGCCTGGCAGTACTAGGGTCGTTGGTTCGAAGCCACAGCACCACCTGCCTGGAGTTTGCATGTTCTCCCTGTGCCTTTGTGGGTTTCCTCTGGGCACTCTAGTTTCCTCCCAGACTCCAAAGACATGCTGGTAGGGTAATTGGCTTCTGTCTAAATTGGCCCTAGTATGTGTATATATGGATGTAAGTTAGGGACCTTAGATTGTATGCCCCTTGAGGGTTAGGGACTGATGTGAATGTACAATATATATATATATATATATATATATATATATATATATATATGTGTGTGTGTGTGTGTGTGTGTAAAGTGCTGCGTAAATGGACGGCGCTATATAAGTACCTGAAATAAATAAATAAATAATTTCATTTGTCTTTATTAACAGCAGCAGGATGCTGTATACTGTGATGCAACGCTCTGAAAAAAAGTATAGCATGTCCTACTGAACTGGAAGGCCTTGTCTATGTATTGGGACTACATTTGGCAAGGTTGACCAGAGCAGCCCAATACATATGGTGTGAAGGGGATCCTAATGCATCTCTTAGGCCCCTTTCACACGGGGCGTACTCTGATTAGTTCAGCAGGGGTCAGCAGAACAGATGACAGGTCCATGTCTGCTCAGTTGAGCAGACATGTACAGATCCCACTCTACTTTATGGGTGGCCACTGTCCGCTTATTCCTGGCTGCCTCCGATATTGGTCCGCCCAAAGGGAGGGAACATATCCTCTTACATTTTTTTTTTACGGACCAGATCAGATTGGAAGTAGGCGGGTGTAAACGGACACAATTCAATTTACACCTGCTGGTCCATAGGAGTGAATGGAGGGTCTGAAAAACTGACAGGCAGACCTGATCTGACCCTTCGTGTGAAAGGGGGCTTATCCACCAGCACTTCACCCAACACTTAGTATCCTGTATGGTTTTCCCAGTACTAAAAACAGAACAAAGTAGTTGATGGGCCACAAGGCAATGTTAGTTTACTAATGTTGATTTACAAAAAGCAAATTAACTATTCACTTTACAAGGAAATTTTCTCTAAGCTTAGTAAATGAGGCGAAGCTCTGCTGATTGCTATCATCCAATCATATGCAAGTAAAAAATATATTTTTTTTAATTTTTTTAATTTTACATGCATGTGACTGGTAGGTTTTTTTTTGGTTTTTTTTTTTTTTGCAAAGTGAACTATGACCTCATTCTCTAAGCTAAGTGAGAATTCACTTGCAAAATGTAAAGTCCCTTCCAAAGTGAAAAGCCTATTTGCCTTTAGTAAATGAACCTCATTGTCTCATGCTCCAAATCTATCAATCATTAAAGTGTTGACTTTCCCAACAATTGAGGCTGGAAATAAGCCTCATAACACCATTCAAAGAGAGCTCCACACTGGTCAATAGGTGTGCCACAAAAGGAAAAAGTAGTATGCAGGTGGGGTTTTGCTCTAGAGATGGGGATTTGCTCTGAAAAGATAAGACGTTAGTAAGAAAATTCAACTTTAGGTAGGGTTTTTTTGCTTAAAAGCCCATCTTTGGGCAAAAAAAAAAGTTTTCCCATGTAGTGGAGCTGTGCCCACAGTGCACAAGTTAACTGCTCATTTTTGTTTAGGGGAGAGGAAAAAGGAGATATACTTACTTAATCCTCCAATCGTTCCAGTGCAAGACCAGTCCAGCACCCCCGAGCTTCATCGGTATTGAATTGTGGACTGTTCCTGACGTCATCAAGCCCAGAGCAGGCTCCAAAGACTGGGAACAGTCCACTGCTGGACCGTAGGGAAACTACATTTTCCGATGGAATAAAGGATCAGGTGAGTATAAGCTCTCTCCTCACCCTGTTGACCCGTGCAGTGCGTGCACAGCTCCACTGTATGGGAAAACATTTTTCTGCCCGGAGTTCGGCTTTAAAAAAGTTTAATATGGCTGACAAGTTGACTTTAGCACAAGGCTCTGACTTTGTAAGCACAGTCCTAGCACAGGCGTCTGGAGCAGATTGGGATTCAATTTCAGTTGAAAATTGCTTTGATAAACAGGGCCAAGTCAGATATAATCTGACTCAGAGGGTAACACAACAGGCTAATCAATCATGATTTGACGTCATTGTGACATACTGACATGAAAGTAGTATTTGAAACCCTTAGCATAACAACTCCAGCTATGGTATTTATTTAAACACTACAAAGTATTAATGCGGTTTTCATGGACAGCAGACACTGACGCTAAAGAATTCCAGCGCAGGGTGGGTTAAATTCCTGGAATGATAAATGAAGAAAGATGTTGAAACTATGTCTGGAACAGAGAGGGTTAAACTGGACACAAGTACAGCAAACCCTTCTCCGATGTGTCCTGGCCTGTTTGTGATCTTCTCTGTAGACTCTTCTATTTGTTCCTTAGCAGGGTGCCAACCCTAGAAACACTACACCACCAGCGGTTGTCAGTTTGTGACATTTCATATGCATTAGTATTTATTTCATGGTAAACATGCACGGTTTTGTTAAAACGCATCTAAACCCAAAACAAAAATGTAATATATTGCAGCTTACCAGCCCTTAGATGTGTTGGCTGCATTTGTTTTCTTTTTTTTTTCTGAATTCTCACTTTGTGATTCTATCATTATTAAATTTCCTTTCCTAGGGAGACAGCACTCACACACCCTGTATCAAGTCAACAGAAACAGGACAGGACTACAGAACTCCACCCCTCAACTCTTCTCCATACCATAGATGGGTGGGGTTCTGTAGTCCTTGGAGATAACTAGTAACTGATAATAGCTCAACACAGGCAGAGAGCACAGGAAGTTATCAGCTCACTAGATTTGTGACATGATCAACATTTATTTTTTGCACTATACCAAAACAGTCTCAGTGGTATATTGGTCATTGTTAAAGCTTGCATACTCTTTAATTTATGAATACACACAATACATGCAATGGCAAAGAATGACATGAAAAATGATGAATGATGAAGATTGATGGATGGATGGGTACTTACTGTAGGTTGACTTACCGAAGTAGAAGCCTCGGTCACCACACACAAATTGCAACGTGTCTACCAGCTCTCCACCACAGAGGGTCTCACCCTGGCACAAAACTATCGAAGAATCTGCTGTGTATGCTATGAAGGTGTAGAGGAGTAGAAGGGCATGTCGGGGGACTGGCACTCCTGGCAGCTGGAATTTTAAAAAATTGTAGTTTAGTGTCTGGCAAAACAAATATTTTTATTATATACTGGAAAAATTAACAACGTAATTCCCTAAATATTACTTATTTTCACAGTACACTAAAATTCAGCCCACTGTGAAGACCCAATATATAGCAGTATATATTGAGCCACTGTGCTTATGCTTTTTCTGATTCTAGATTTGATCTACAGCGCCCCTGCTGGGGAAACCTTACAATTTCACCATTGAGAAAGAACAAGTACTGTAGGAGATACTTTTTTTTAATTTGCACTAAGATCCAAATTTTCAGGACATAC